TGGATTAAAGAGTTTTTCCAATTAAAGTGACAATTTTTGAAATAAGGATTATTTTATTTACAGAGTCGCCACTCGGAATTGATTTTTGGGTGTTTCAAGTCACCTTTTATTTGAATCCCTAGTGAAAGGAAAGTTTGACTCTATTATTATTGGTCTGCGAAAACAAAATCCGGATAAAGAATTCTGTTGACCGGGAAGAAGGTGTAAGGCATTCCCCGAGTCCCGTGGTTCTAGCACGGTCGCTTTATTGACTTAAACTTGGCTTGAATATCTGAATTATTACATATTTTAGAACCTTTTATACATTACCGCTTTTATTATTTATGAAATTTATTTGAACAAGTCGCGATGTCGCGCACTCGTTTATTTTTGTGCACATTGCGAATCGCGTCACGTGAAACATACCCGTTATTTATAACATGTTTATTTTAGTTATTATTAGAAGTTGTGACCCGAATGGAATTTACGTATCGTGACCATGCCACGGGAACCGTACTCATGGTCACGATGATTTATTATTCGCGCCTAAAACAATCTGCGAAATTCAATAGTTTAAATATTTTTTTAAGACTAGTTTGAGATTATTGTGAGGCATAAAGATTATGAAAATTATATTATGGTGGAGAACAGTACCGGCTATGCTTAAAACCAACCATATTCCAAATAATGCAGCAAAGCAAAGAAGAAAACAACTTTAAAGGCGCATCAAATCTATTGGTCTTGTTCAATAATGAAGAAAATCCATGTTAGATGAAGGACAAAAAAATTCAACTTTGGACACCATAAATGAATGGCCTAAGAACATCATTTACTTGGTAAGGGTGTAAACTGTCCAAAAAAAATATGTGCTGGGAAAAGACATAAAATCACTCCAACATTTCCTATGACAAGTATTTGGCCAGCAATTCAATTTTAATATCACTTGAAATCCCAATGGCGCAAATCTTATCTTAACGAAACAACAACTTTGTTCTTCTGTTACTAAAATTTATTTTTTGTTTAAGAATCAACTAACAAACAAAAGAGGGGAATCCAAATCATAGATATTTTAACTATTTTCAGAGCAAATAAGCAGAGTAATGCAAAATTTAGAATCCATAGCTTCCAAAACCAAAAAGCCAATCGGACATACAAGACTATATTATTACTTCCACGTTTTATTCAAGCTTGACACAAATTAGTACAAGATGAACTGCAAAATGAAGATCTAAATTTAACAATAAAAATACGGACCTTAGTTAAGCTTGACTCGCCGAATAGGACCTCGAACGGATAACCTCGAAACTCGCCGGAAAGGTTTAAGAAAAAAAAAAAAAACTTTAGTTGTTTGTGTGCTTTTTTTCCCCTCTCTTTTGCCTAATAGGACCTTAGTTGCTGCCCATTTTCTCTCTTTTCTTTGTGTGCTTTTTTTTTTTCCTTTTTTGTGGTGTGGGGTTGTGATTATGAAGAAGAAGAAGAAAGAGTTTTGTGGAGGGTGCGGCTCGCTATCTCTTGAATGAGAACATGAGACATGAAAAGATGTAGGGTTTTGGGGAGAGGACATCTGATGGGTCATTGGCTATTGGGCTCAGGTTTAGTCCAATTTGGGTCATGACTTGACATTTGAACAAAGCAAGACTTTAGAAGAATTGGTCCAAATTAAATCTTCTTTTTTTTTTTTGTGATTTTGATTTTCTTTTAGTGATTAATAGATGAAACAATAAAAATACTACTCCTAAACTTGAAATAGCAAGATAAAATACTAATCGCTCAAAATTTACTTATCAAACTAATATATTTTTTTGGAAAACATTTTCTTTCTTTATAAATGAAGATAAAGCTTATATTAAAAATGTGACTTTTTTTTTTATTGTTTTCAATTTTCTTATGTAAAATATATAAAAAGAGAAATAAGAGCTAAAATATGTAGATTAAACTTAAAGTATATTTGCATACTAAAAAGTGATGAAAAACTCAAATATAGTCAAAAATTAGGTGCTCACAATGATAATTTTTATGTGTTGTTTTACATGATATATTTGATTGTGTTTTTTTAATTCTTACCAGTATTTATTTATGGAGTTTTATTTTTGTAATAAATTTGGTACAGTATATTATACGGAAAATTTGTCTTCTGAAGGCTTGTTTCTTAGTATTTTATGCTGGATGGTTTTTGATTATGTTTTTTGTTTATGGAGTTTTGTAATAAATTTTGTCCAGTATATTATACGGGAAGTCTGTCCTCTGAATGTTTGTTCTCCAGTATGTTATACTGGATAATTATTATAATACTAGTTTCTGGGCACGTGCGTTGCGTGTGTACCCAATAACAGTGAGTACAAACTTTTTTAAAATTACAAATATTGTTAAAAGATACGTTTGAGTTTGAAATAAAAATTAAATGAGGTATTTTAAGTTTTTAAAAATGGTTCCTACTGTTAGTTGTGTATTTCTGCTTCGGTTTTTTGTTTAGTGTGCTTGTGCTTTCCCTTTTTCTTTACTGAACTGAGGGTCTACCGGAAATAGCCTCTCTGCCTTCTTGAAGGTAGGGTTAAGGCCTTCTTAAATGTATTTCTAGTTCCATTAGCATCCAGATTTACACTTTATTAGAACTTCAGGAAAATTGAAGTACAATATAGATACAAAAACAAAACATACCCCATAATCACAAAAAAAGAACCCAAATTAAGTCTTAAGAGCATTAAACTGCTAGTCTTAAAGTAATTAAAAAATTAATTAATTAAAGGTTTACTATTTTTCATTAGGGACAAATATGATTAATTAAAGGTCACTCATATTTTAAAGGGTATTATTGTAAACTGACTTTGAAAGTAGGAGCTTATTACTTTTAATATAATATAATATGATATGATGGTCAAGTTATATCACCTATGGGTAATAGTTCATCTTGCTTAGTTGTCCAGCAATCTTCTTGTTGTAGCTCCCTCGGCAATGCACATCTTGGACAATCAGCTTGCTAATCACTTCAACACTTCTCAACTTCCCTTAAAAAAATTCTTTGGTTTCTCTCTTGCCATACATAGTACGCACTACCAATCAACGTCATTCTATAGATCTCAGCTGTGGCTTTTTTTCCATTTGCAAATTTAATTGCCCGGTTTAGCTCCTCAGACCACCCCATAGCTCTTCATAGCCATATCCTGCTAGCTCGAAGTTTTCCTTGGCATTCATTATCTTCCTTACCATCCACGAGGCTTTTGTAGGGTTGACTTCCCATGACTGCCTCCCTTTAATGTAGTAGCTATGTAATCATATGATCCACAATCTATCTTTTTTCTTACACAGATTCCAAAAGTGCTTACTTACTGTTGCTTTATTCCAGGTACATGTGTCAATAATATTGCAACCCCCAGCAGATTTTGGATAGCACACTTTTTTCCATGCTAATAGTGCTTTCTTTGTCATCTCAATACCCTCAGTCCATAGAAATTTTCTGCACATAGCTTCGATCAAGTGTATGATGTTTGTAGGTAATATAAATATTTGGGACCAGAAAGTTTGCATGGAGAAAATGATGCTTTTAATTAGTTGAACCCTCCCTACATAGGATAAGAATTTAGAGGTCCATGATGTGATCCTTCCAACCATTCTATCAAGTAGTGGCTGGAATTGTGTGACTGAAACAATGTCTCCCCTGCAAAACAAAAGAAGGTCGTCAGTAAAGCCTAACTGCACTATCTGTAATTTATCACACCTCGGATGATAGTCGAAGTCAGGTATGTGTCTCAGAGTTTTCAAACTTCTATTCATGCATTTCATGGCTAAGACAAATAGAAAAGGGGATACAAGAGAACTGGGCATTCACAAGACTGCTTTGATTCTCATCATGATACATTCTTGTAGTAAGCGTGTGGTTTATAAAAACGTATTATTGGGAGGGGGAGGGATCCCCTTGCCTTAACTTTCTTCTAGCCTCAAAAGGTGCTGTTAGTTTACCATTCAGTAAGATCGAATAGGAGACACATTTAACACAACTCATGATCCATTGGATATATTTATCAGGAAAAGACATACTAATTAGGATTTGCTCCAAAAAAATCTATTCAATTGAGTCATAGGCTTTCTACATGTCAATCTTCATCATACACCTCGGTGACAAACCTTTCCTCCCATAGCCTTTAACCAGCTCATGGCTGAGAATTATGTTATCAGTTATAAGCCTAGCCTACCTGGGACAAAAGCAGACTGAGAGTTGTCCACCAAATCATCTATGACGACCTGTAGCCTTTTAGGCTGAATCTTGGAAAGTATCTTGTACAATGTAGTATAACAAGAGATGGGCCGATATTCCTTAATTGAAGATGGATTCTTGACTTTAAGGATAAGTGTAACTAATGTACATGTTAATATTAATTATGTATGTTAGTTAGCTGATCAGTTAGTTAGTAAGGAGTTAGTGGAGTCATTAGTTAGTTAAAAATGCCAGCTGTACAAATTAGTTTGTTAACCGACTTTCATTAGCTCATTTTCTAGCTTAGCTTTCGATTGTATATAGTGGAGGCTCCACTTATTTTTCTTTATTAATGAATTGAAAAATTCTGGAATATTCTTCTATCCCTTCCTTCATCATCTTTCTCACAGTGACCTCTCATGACGTAGAGGTTCAGATCCTCTCACCATTGAAGCTCAATTGAGCTTTGGGTTACCGTTTCATTGAGAGTTTTGATATGGTGTCAGATCTAGGAGCATCAATTTAGACTCGCTTCACAGGATCTGTTAATTCAGTCTCCGTCAGTGTCGATTTCAATTAGATCGCACACATGCAAACTCATTTCTCCATCGATTTCAAGCTATAGTTGTGAAAAAGGTTATGATTTGCTTATGAATTTGTAATTGCTTGGAAATTGTTGTTAAATTCGTAATCACCATTTTCTAGTCCTCAATTGTTTAGAGATTTTGTACTGTACGAGATGAATACTGTCGAAGACGATAATCAATCTACACTGTCTATGACTGAATCTCCTAATTAGTCAAGTGTTGATATCAGTAGTCCCTTGTATATGCATCCATCTGATAATTCCGGAGCAACTTTAGTCCCTATTCCATTTGATGACTTTGGATATCGATCGTGGAGAAGAGGTATAATGCGAATATTATCTGTGAAGAATAAGCTGGGATTCATCAACGGAGAATGCAAGAGACCAAATCCAGATTCATCAAAATTTTGCCTATGGGAAAGATGTGATGATATGGTCACCTCATGGATCCTAAACTCCTTAGCTAAGGAAATTGCAAATAGTATTGAGTATGTAGCAGATGCATTCGAATTGTGGAGAGAACTTGAGGATCGATATGATCAGACAAATGGAACAAAACTATACCAGATTCAGAAAGAAATCAATGATCTATCCCAAGGAGCCCTTGATTTCACTAGTTATTACACAAAAATGAAAAAGAAATGGGAGAAACTCAACACTTTGATTGCCAAATCTCATTGCACTTGTAACTTCACATGTGGAGCTAAGGAGAGCATGCATAAAGCTGAGCAGGATAGGAGGTTGATACAATTCCTTATGGGATTGAATGAGACGTACACTGTAGTTTGAGGCAGCATATTGATGATGAATCCTCTTCCCTCAATTGCCCAAGCCTTTTCTTTGCTGATTCAAGAGGAAAGGCAGAGAGAAATTAAGCCAAACGGTCATTTGGCTCTGGAGTCATCAGCCTTGAATGCTAGCACAATAAGACCTGGGATATTCAGAACAAACTATTCTCCCAGTAATAATCACAACAACAAGACCGAGCCTTTTGTGATTATTGTAAGAGACCAAGGCACACCAAAGAGAAATGTTACAAACTTCATGGATACCCACAGAGTTTTAGTCAAAATCAGAATCCAAACATAAATCAAAGCAGTTTCAATCAAAATCCTAGGCAAAATTTCAACTACAACTACAATTCCAACAACAATCACAATAACAAGTTCAATAGAGGAAATAGAACAGTAGCCAATGCACATGTAGCAACCACCGATACTCAACCTGCTGAGACTGAGAAATGTGCTAGTCATGATAATGCTCAAAGTGTAAGTCTCACCCAAGAGGAGTACAACCAGTTGGTGAACCTACTGCAGCAGTTTCAATCAGGAGGAGGAAGAGATTGCACAACTGGTACTAATGTTGCATCAGGAACAACAAACTTTGCAGGTATGATAACTTGTACTTCCTCAATTGACTTTGGTAAACTGTCATGTGAATGTTTCAAGAACAAAGCTGACTCATGGATTATAGATTCAGGGGCATCAAACAACATGACTTTTAACAGATCCTTGCTAACCAATATAATAACCTTACCTTATCCCCTATTAGTTATACTTCCAAATGGGTACAAGGTAAAGGTGACAGAAATTGGTAGTGTGATACTCACTTCTAAGATCACTCTAGACAAAGTGATGTTTGTTCCTTCCTTTAGATACAATTTGATATATGTTCATTATTTGGCCTCTCATCTCAACTGTCTTGTTGCCTTTGTTAAACATTGATGCATACTGCAGGCCCCTTCAATGAAGAGGCCTCTGGTGATTGGTAGAGTGAAAGATGGGCTGTACATCCTGTGCCCAAGTTGTCTGAAGAAGAATAGTACAAGCTCTGCAGTAAAGGCCACTCACACATTACCCACCATTTCTACTTGTTGCACCTGTAACACACACTGTCCCTCTCATTCTATTGTAAATATGCCATTACATACAAATAAGTGTGTTTCTTCTCCAATTGTAAATAGTCCATGTGCAGCTATTAAAAACAAGTTTCCTTTATAAGTCCATCTTCTGAAGTTTCTAGTATATTTTCTCATTCTTGTATTGAAAACAATGTAAATGTGTTGTGGCATAATAGACTTGGATATGTCCCCTTTGTCAAAATAAAGAACATTACCTCTATACCTGCGAACTTCTCTCCCAAACAACCATTCAACTGTACCATTTGCCCAATGGCTAGACAAGAAAGACTGCCATTCCCTCAGAAAACCAGCACAACTAACATAATATTTGAACTTCTACATGTTGATCTGTGGGGTCTATATCATGTTCCTACACATGATAGATATAAGTACTTTATAACTATGGTGGATGATTATAGCAGGTCTACTTGGACTCACCTTTTGTCCAGCAATAGCATTGCTCTTGAGATACTCAAAGAATTCATGAACTTAGTAGAAAACCAGTTTGGTGTAACTATCAAGTCCATAAGGTCAGACAATAGACTAGAGTTCACTAGTAAAGAAGCAACTATGTTATTTCAGTCTAAAGGGATCATTCATTAGAGAACTTGTCCCTACACACCACAACAAAATGGTGTGGTGGAGAGAAAGCACAAATACCTCCTTGAAATAGCTAGAGCCCTTCTCTTCCAATCCAAGCTACCTTTGAGATACTGGGGTGAATGTGTCCTCTTTTCCACTTATATCATAAACAGATTACCCTCCAGTTCTATTAATAATCAAACCCCACATGAACTACTGTACAAAAGAAAACCAAAATATTCTTACCTAAAGAGCTTTAGTTGCTTATGTTACCATACTGTACCAATACCATATAGGGATAAGTTTAAGCCCATAACAATACCACATGTGTTTGTTGGGTATCCTTTCAATACAAAGGGGTACAAGGTTCTGAGTCTAGCTACTAGAAAAATCCATATCTCCAGAGATGTGGTGTTTAATGAGTCCATTTTCCCTTTTGGAGTCAATATGAATAAATCTTCTCAATCATTTGTCCCTTATCCAATCCCCTTCATTGAGTCCCTAAGTGAGCAACCTTCTAATAATACAAATATCACTCAGATTCCTGAAAACCTGAGTGATCAAAGGAGTGCAGATAACATATCTCATAGTATGTCACATGTACATGCGACTTCTCCATCACCTTATGCAGCACCTATTTCTTCACTACCTGATGCATCATCACAATACTACAATGAACAGACACACAAAGAATAAGTTCAACCAACAAGGCAGTCACAAAGAACTCATAAACTTCCTATCTACCTACAAGACTATGTTCATTCCCTTCCTCACCTCAAGACAAACTCTGCTCCTCTAAATGCTTTATTTTCTGTGAATCACCATATTGCCTCTGATCTACTAACTCCTAATAGTCAGACTATTGTGAGAAATATTTGTCATGACAGGGAGCCATTATCATATGAGGAGGCAGCCATTGATCCTGCATGGCAAGCTGCAATGACACAGGAATTTGATGCACTATATTCCAATCATACTTGGGACTTGGTAATGCTTCCACCTGGGAAGCATGCAATTGGTTGTAAATGGGTATACAAGGTGAAGCACAAAGAAAATGGCAGTATTAAGAGGTTCAAGGCCAGACTGGTTGTCAAAGTTTACACTCAGCAAGAAAGAATAGATTATACATAAACCTTCTCACCAGTTGTAAAGATGACAACAATGAGGGCCTTAATAGCTACAACAGTTAAGAAAGGCAGGTCCATATCTCAGTTGGATGTGAATAATGCTTTTATCCATGGAGACTTCAATGAGGAGGTGTATATGCAGGTACCACCTGGACTAGTTGTAGAAAAACCAGGTTTGGTTTGCAAACTGAACAAGTCCCTCTATGGTTTAAAACAAGCAAGTAGACAATGGTATGCAAAACTGACTGAAGCACTGTGCTCAAGGGGCTACACACATTCCATGTATGACTACTCACTCTTCTACAAAAGAAATGAAGAGTCCTCAGTATATGTTGCAGTGTATGTGGATGATGTGTTATTAACTGGGACTGACTAACAAGACATTGCACAACTCAAAGCATTCCTACATGAATAGTTCAAGATCAAGGACATGGGGGAACTTCACTATTTCCTAGGATAGGAGATTGTGTATAAAGATGATGGGGTCATCATATCTCAAAGAAAGTTTGTGTTAGACTTGCTGAAGGAGTACAATTGTCTGGATCTCAAGGCTTGCTCTTCATCTTTGGATCCTACCATAAAGCTGAAGGCCAAAGAAGGGACAATACTGCAGGATCCTACTTATTATAGAAAGCTAGTAGGTAAACTAAACTTCTTAACCAACACCAGATTGGACATAACATACAGTGTTCAACACTTAAGGCAGTTCATGCAGGAGCCCGGAGAACCTCATCTAAAAGCAACATTTCACTTACTTAGATATCTGAGGAATGATCCTACCTTAGGAATTTTCATGTCAAAGGATGGAGATCACACAGTTAAGGCCTATTGTGACTCTGATTAGGCAGCCTACCCAGACTCTAGGAGGTCCATTACAGGTTATCTAGTTCTACTAGGTAACAATCCTATTAGTTGGAAATCTAAGAAACAAGAGACCATATCCCTATCCTCTATAGAAACAGAATACAGAGCTTTGAGGAAAGTAGTGGGAGAACTGGTATGGTTAAGCAGACTGTTTAAAGAGTTGACTATCCCATTTTCCTTGACTATCTCAGTCTTATGTGACAGTCAATCTGCATTGCATATTGCAAAGAATCCAGTATTCCATGAAAGGACCAAGCACATAGAAGTAGATTGTCATTTTGTACGTGATCAACTACAAGCAGGTTTAATTTCTCTCCACCACATCAGAACAAACAATCAGCTCGCAGAGGTTCTAACTAAAGCCTTGGCTGGGATCAAACACAATGCTACATTAGGCAAGTTAGATGTGTTCACCACACCTCCAACTTGAGGGTGTTGAATTTTGACAAGATTAATGTGAACTAGTGTGAACATTTGAAGTCTCATTTTAGGAAGTAATTGGTAGATACATTTTTCATGCATTTACATTGCATGTTCATACTTAATATGATGTTATGCATGACATTATTAAGGTCATTTTCCTTCTATAAATAGCAAGGGTTTTGATCATTTGTAAACATCTCTCACTTGCCTTCTTATCTCCTAAGGCATTTAAATCTTCTTTCTCTCTTGTAGTATTTCACTTGTAGTTTTGGAGTGAAATAAATTTGAGTTTATTGTGTCCGAGGACTAGGCAAAAATTAAATTTTTCCGAACCTCGTTAATTTCTGGTGTTCATTTTATTATTGTCTCATTTACTATTTATTAGCTACCTTTAGATATAGTAATTATGATTTAATCACTCTCTATATATTCGGCTTCCGAAATAATTGGTATCAGAGCCAAGGTTCTATCTTAGTATGCTCTGTGGTTGCAGCATAGTCTGAACTTCCAGATCATAAAAGAATTACTTTGGTGTTCTGTACTGTCAGCAAATAAATAGTATTTGTAGCAAAATAGGAGATAATAAAAATGAAGAGTCCACATCAGGTATCAGTAATACGTCGTTGGCATCTTCGTTTATGACAAGAATTATGTCAAATGCAAAATTTGCAGTTGAAATTTTTGACGGGTCAGGACATTTTGGGATGTGGCAAGCTGATGTTCTTGATGTCCTTTTTCAACAAGGGCTAGATATTGCCAGAGAAGAAAAGAAACCAGACAATATCGGAGAAGGAGATTGGAATATTATCAACCGCGTTGCTTGTGGTACCATTCGATCATACCTCGTAAGAGAACAGAAGTATCCATACACAAAAGAAGCTTCTGCAAGTAAA